TTTGGGACATGTAAAACTGAATTAAGTGAGATAGTATTCAAGAAAGGAATACACCATTTTTAACAATTGACGATAGAGACCCCTCAGCAATTTTAACTTTCTCTCTACCTGAATGAGCATAAGAAAATATAAACTTGATTGGCTAGTCATATGATCTATGGCACCAAAATTAGCAATCTACTAATAATTCAAAAGAGAAGAAAGATTTAAGCTAGTAAAAAATCATCATGCCAAAGTACTCCATCATCATGCTTCTAATAGATAATAGATTAACTAATTGGAATAATAAAACCATTGCAAGGCATGAATGCATTGTTAAGCCACCATCTCATGGAAATCATGATCATGACATAAGAAAAGACCATCATGTACTAGCTAAGGTTCCATGGATGGAAATCATCGTGTTGCAATAAGCCATCATATTGTAGAACATAGTTAGGTTGACAAGGCAAATTGTTTTATCCACTTGTTGTAGCACTACGCTCTCGTACAAACTAAATAGCAATCAGAGTTTAATGTATTGAAGTGATTACATCTTCAAGCCCAACACAACTCTATTCCAAATTTTGGTGCCTTTTCCAATGCTCAAATCGTTGTCGTAAGCTTACCACATTAGCTAGCCATCATCTAAGGTTGGATCTTAGTGAAACAATGGAATTTAGATCTAATAGAAACAATAGAAAAACTTAAAAAGATAATATATTTTAACAGAATAACTTGAAAGTATTTAATTTGGTGGGTAAAAAAAGCATGCCTAACCCCATCTTTCCCGTTTAAGAAAAACAATGTCATAAAAGGGAAAGGCAAAAAATAACCTACTTAGTGAGGCTAGAAATATTATCAACAAAATAATAAATCTAATAATAGTAGAATTCAAGGAATATTATGCTTACACTGCTTAGATTGTCCTAAATCTTCAGTATTAAATGCAAAAAATCATCAAGGAATCTAAGGCCCCTGGTGCTTAAGCAAAAAATGAAGTACTGCTGTTCATTCAAATGACAAGCATAGCCTATTATGTTTATAAATAAAAATATAACATGCATACATAATGTATTCTGAGAATCTTATAATCTGTTACTTTCGATATATATCTGAAAATCACTATTTGACAATCAATATAAGAGTAAGCCAGCAGCAAAATGTATAAAACAATATTCTATACATCCAATTTCAAAGCCCATAGAAGAAACTAAAGTGAACCATAGTTCACATGAAAAAGGACACAGCACCCAATATTTTTGCATAAAATCACCTAATGTGCTTTTCCCTTTATTCAGCTTTGGGGCACTCCATACACAAGAAGAGCCATGTTGCCTACAGAACTAGGTGCATATATTTACAGTTATTTCTTTGCACATTGCCATTGTTTTTATGCCTCTAAAAGTATATGATAAACAAATATGAATTTACCAAAATTTAATGCATTTACTTACAATTTGGACATAATTATTATTATTATGGTTTTAATTTCATAGTATCGTAATAGCTACTCTGAGCAATTCTATGCGGTCATCAAGGTGGAATGAAGCTTGCATTCTTCTTTCAAGAATTTAATCATCTTCACGGTTTATTTAAACGCACATTTTGTTGAAAACAAGACTAATAGTTTCCGTTCTTCCCATGAAAAGCAATGGATTAAGATTTATCAATTTTTTCCCCAAAGTTCAATTGCAATTAACTGTTCTCTTTCACCTTGAATTCTTTGGATACCTTAACGCCAGACCCCTCACCGTAATACGGGGGGCTTCTTACTTGTTATCATTCAAATCCAAACTTCACATATTCTGAGAAACAAATTGAAATTCACATATTCCATATCAGTAGGAGTCGGAGACATTTCATACCATAATGGGAAAAGGAGGTACTTCCATCAGCAATAATAGAAAACGAAGAAATTGAGATGCACAATTAAAAGTAGTACTTTGATAGACGAGGGGACCGTGAGGCGAGAGGGAGGTGAAGGACCAATGGTTCTGAGAGTGATTTCAACCGGCTCCTTCATTTCTTCTTCCGTTCCACGGCCATGATCAGGCTTACTCCCCGTCATTATTGTACGTTATGGACGTGTCTGAGAATGAGAAGTCTCCGAAAGAGGGTAGCAAGTCTGATTAGCGTTTCAATTTTTTCCTAAACTATAATCGTTGAATTTTACGATTTATTCAACTTTAATTTTTTTCACATTAATGCCCCAACTATAAACTTTATTCCTCATTGGTCATTGTACTAGAACATGACAAGCAGTTCTAAAAATGTAAGAATAATTCTACTCCCTCCGTCTTAATTATATAAGCTAATGTTTCTTTTTCTCTTGTCCCAAATATATAGACATGTTTTCTAATTTAGAATATTTTGTTTTGTTCCTTTACTAATATACC